GAAATCCTGCTTTTGATACAACCCCAACAGGGAATTCCCATCTTAGAATCATCTGCATGTTTTATTGGTTTTGCTGTTAATCTCACAGGATAAACACATATCAGTGTTTCAGATTCTGAACTCATGTTTTCTCCAGTCAAAACCAGAAATATGAACCTTTGGGGAAAAAACAGGTAAATATGTTCATTTGTTTAACACAAATTTCACTTCAACATTCAAGGAACATAACTGGCATAAACCAGAAGGCTCACCAGTGATAAAAGTTGTGTTGCAAGCGGTGGTGTTTCAACAAAGTACTTATTGAGGGTTTTACAGTGGTAATAAGCACGTATAACAAGTTGATAAATACTCAATGACTAAAAGTCATTTTATCTAAAAAAGGATTCTTCCTTGTTTATACTTCAAGTACTAGCTTTGAAATGGTTACAGAGATTAAACACTGAACTCCCCAGACACACATTCAGTTGTGCAGGATCACGTGTCCTGTAAATGAGCTTGTTGAAACACCTGATATTTCCTCATAACACACTGCTGCAAGTAGCAAAACCATTTCATTCTTATGCACTGAATTTAAGCACTCACTTAGAGCTCTCAACTTCAATGAACAAAGAATACTTTGTATATACATATGTAAAGGTTGCACTAAATAAAATTTGGTTCTGTGATCTACCTGTACCCTACCTGGTAGACAGAGCACTGGAAAATCTGGAAGGACTCAGCACTGTCATTGCTCCCAGAGCAGAGCTGTGGCCACTGAAACTGCTGAAAATGTTCCTACCAAAGCTAGTGGTTTTGCAGCAGATGCATAACCTCCATGAACAAACACAGATCATTTACAAGTACAAATGTTATCACTTCTAACACCTTTTAATTTGTGTCAGTTTTTGCAGCCAAATTCCTGATGTGGCTTCACAGGGAAGACCCCTCCATACACCACTGTCCTAGGTTACAATGTAAGATGTAACCAAAATAATGTATTCTATTATCATCTCCATAAGCTGCTAAAATAAGTGGGGCAGTATTCCTTATCTTTTCCATGACTCATCCCTGATAACTCCCTCTGTGGGGGCTATCTCTGCTAATGGGAAAATCGAGTCCCACTGCATGACTCATAAAATTACATCATCCCACTGTGAGATGTCCCACCCAGGGGGAGGAACCAGACATTCCTACCTGGATACAATCTGAGGCTTGGAACACCACAGAGGCACTACCACAGGATTCCCAGCGAACAAGAGCTCAACACCCACTCCTGGACCTCAAGACAGAAAGATCAGATTGTTCTGCAGGATAGCTGTTTTGACAAAATCCACACCCATCACTCCAACAGGACTGTAGCCAGCATTTAATCAGACTGTCACCACCACCCTGACCGACAGGGTGTCAGGTTGTATTTTGACTGTCAGTTTAGGCCAGTGTTTCTGTACTATTGCCTTTAATTTTCCTATTAAATTGTAGTTCTGCCTTGGAATGTTCCACTGGTTTGTTTTCAAACTAGTACAACCACTGCTCATTGTGAGGTGGGCACACCCAGCCTGGTCCAGCACCAGGACATGGAGCAGTAGGACATGGATCAGGCAGTCCTGCTTATCAAACAAGCCCAGCAATACCCGTGCTGCTGCATCGATACCCTCCTGCATCTACACTATCTAACAGGAAGAAGTTACCTTGAAACTCTTTCCAAGAGGTCTGAAAATCAACAGTTAAGCAGGATAGCACATAGACACTTATTTTGCTCAAGAATGTGAGCTGTTTTTCACAGTGATTCAGCTTTCACAATACATCAAAGGTACATAGATCCTCTGTGGTCCCACTTGGGTAAATCAGTCTGCTGGAAGATTCAGTCTTCCCTTTGCTATTAATTTAGCGACAGAAAGCAGAAGATAAAATAGATTATGACAGGCAGGGAAAGCCATGGTTCCTTCATTAATTCTCCAATATTTTTACCTAGAAGCCAATGAAAATTTGGCCATTGACTCATCCATGCATTTTCAGTGTCTCACAAATATGTATTCAAGAAGAAATAGAATGTCCACTAATAATTCAAAAATATTAAAGTTCAAATAGCTAAGGAATAAAACTTCTTCATAAATCCTACCTTCAAGATGTTACATTATTAATTTACTTTTACGGAATAAATACGTCCTAATAGCTCTTGCCAGGCAGTCAGTTAAAAACAGCATAAACCCACATCCCAGGCCTAACAAAACACTACAAGAAGGACATTTCATTTGTTCTTTTTAAGATGTGTAACTTTGCATATCAAAACTGGTCATTTTTAATGGCAGAGATTTCTGAAAATTTTTTACTTGCTGATAAGACTTCAGCTTGTGTCTTTTCCAGCTACTTAAAGCTTCAGCTCACTCCAACTCATTGTTTTCAACTCAACTGTCATTAATCACATTTGTAAATCAAAGAATTTTATTAATGTGTGGCAGTGTTGGCATCATGAAGCTTCTGTGGGGCCCCACCACCCACATAAGCCCTGCTCAGACCAGAGCACACCTTACTATTAGCACTGCCTGTCTTAAAGCCTGCAATCTCAAAAGATGCTTCATTCCTGTAATGGAATTTTGGCTTTTGTGGGAGTTGTTTAAAACAAGAATACAAATACTGTACCAAATACAAACTACTGCTGGGAATGAAAGAAAAAAATTGTTGGATTTATTAGACAAGGGGTTGTGGATGTAAAGATGTTTACCCTCACCTCCAACTTCCTTTAGGTCTCATTACAAGTTTATGTTCTTCATACCAAATAGCAGTTTTTCATTATTAATTAATTTAGCCTCTAAAACCTAGATGCATACATGAGTAGACAGAGCTAAAACAAGTATTTTACCTAGTTTCATTGAACTAACAAGTTCCATTAAATGAGTTGATAAAAATAAGGTGCTTTAAACTGCAGTATTTGAAATAAATTTGAAGCAACTCAGTATTTGAAATAAATTTGAAGCAACTTGGATACTGACTGGAAAGCAGGCACAGGTCTACTACCAGTCAAGGACTGGAAACAAATTCTGTTATCAACACCCAAAAATTACTTTTAGTATAGATTTAGTGATGGAATTACTGATTACTCTTCAGCTGATGGAAGTGCAACAGAATAAATCTTAATGCCCTAAACTCCAGAGCTGGATTAGATTTTTACAGCCTTTAAACTGTAAAAAGAACAAGACTTTAGCAATGTGTGAATGGCAGTATCAGAGACAATTTTCAAGCTTCCTGTATGCACATGCCATTTGCTTCGCACTTTGACATTGGGGCATCCTAGGTATGGAGCAGGCCAGGAGGGAGCTGCCATTCTCTCCACCCATGCCCCTGAAGCACCAGAATCAGGACCTGGGAACAGCCCTGCAGCCTGGATGTCATCTCTGCTCTTCCATCCTGTTTGCTCTGGGTGCCTGAGGCTACAGCATGTTCCTACTGCACACACAGCAAAGGCAGGGGGTGCCAGAGAAGATGCAGCTGTCACCATCGTACTTTCTGAAAAATCTCCTTGCCCAGGATTCTTCTCCTGGGAAGCTGAGAAGCCTCAGAGAAAAATGAAAACAATAATTATCTGATGTTCTCCTGTGTTTTGCTGCTTTGGAATGTGTTTGGACATTGTTTACCAACAGGTGATTGTTTCATTGGGTGAATTGTTTTGAGTTAATGACCAATCACCGTCAGGCTGTGTTGGGACTCTGGAAGTTGTCACGAGTTTTCATTAGCATCTTTTTAGCCTTCTGTAAGTATCCTTTCTGTATTTTTTAGTATAGTTTAGTATAGTATTCCTTAATATAATATAGATCATAAAATAATAAATTTCTAAGAACATGGAGTCCGATTCATCACTCCTTCCTTCATTGGGTATTGAAGTTGGAAGGGAGCGACCTACCTTGCGTTGGTCAGCATCAACTCCGATTTATTAATCAATCAGTCACCTTTTATAACAGTGTTAATCAAGTTCATGCATATTGCAAAATCTGAGCTCACAATAGGTCAGAGATAACATACCAACCCCTCCTTATGTTTCCAATACCAAGATTTGGGTTCTCAAAATTATTCTTGCTTTCCCAAAACAGCCAAAGATAGAACATCCACTTGTTATGAGAAAGCTGCCTGAGAACTCTGATGTGCAAGGCTCTCAAGGCCTTCATGTTTGTCACCTTTACTTGTAATTAAAAATAACCTGAGAACCTCTGCTGTTCGCAGAAACAGGCTGTGAGAACCTGCTCCTCACAGCTGCCTTCTAGGCCATCCCTGAAAAAATCTCCAACAATCGGGGGTCCGATTCAGCACTCCTTCCTTCATCGAGGAACCACATGTTCCTCACACACTATCCTGCAAGTGGACTTATAATAGAAATGAGCAACCTGCAGTCTACAATCCCATCAAAGAATTGGGAAGAGAGGTACAGGAGAAAGAAAGAGGCAGCTCCCCAGATTGCTCCCCACTCTGTAAGGATCCTGGAGCGCAGCTTTGGCAAACAGCATGTTGTTACAAATTGAGACAGATGGAAATGCGCTTCCTTGTCAAAGCTGTTATTCCCCAAGAGCAAAGAAATTTTGTTGTCTTAAATGTGCTGTGAGTAACAGACAGAGAAAGGTCCAGAAATAGAACAAAACTAGTAATATAAAACTAGGTTTGGAAGATGAAATTAAAGCTGTCTTTTGCACAGAAATGTGTGTGGTTTTCTTAACAGATAAAACCCCCTTCTTCTTTAGTACCAACAGCATGAGTTACAACAAGTGTTGCACACATTGTCTTACTGAAGACCTAACCTATTAGAAATAAATTGCTAATGTTGGTCATACAGTATTATCAATAGGATAATTTCTGTGATCGAGTCATTTACAAATTCTGGTCTGTACAAAATATTGCATAATATGGGATCCCAAGTTTTTAAAGAACCTTTGAATTCAAACTACAGCACAACCCATTCATTTAAGGTTTTTAAAAATTTTAGATACTAACAATAATCTGAATTTAGCTTTGAAAAAAACACAGGATTTTCTGCATAAGAGTGATTCAAGGTTAATTTAATAATGAGCCACATCATTTATTTTAAAGTCCATTTCACAATAAAGCTCAAGACAAAAATCAACTTCCAATTTCACCAGCAGTATGCTTTTCTAATACTGTTCATTTCTTTCCATGAAAACAAACCCACTTTAGTACCATTCCTTTGTCTACTGAATCTTGACCAGAAAATAAATGCTAATAGCATCTTTTCCATTAAGGAAGAGGATGGTAAGCAAACAGAAAGATGTTTTGCCCTGTAGGTGCCAAGATTACAAAACAACTCCAAAACTAACAACTCCATATTTTAAAAACATCAATTTACTTTCCCCAAATTCTTTCAGTCTTCAACATCCATTAGGAAGGAAAAAACAAAAAGGAGAAAAAATAAGGCAATTAACAAAAAAGTGTGATTATTTCATTTTTCCATTTGTTCTTGCACAGAAAGCCAAACACATCCACTTCAGACAAGCTATAGCATCAGCAGCGTCCATTATCTCACAGAAACCACATTCAAGTACAACTTGAAAAAGCTTCAAAATGGTTGCAATATGCATCAAAATAATTCTTTTAATCTTTTAGGTTTTGTATTCTGAGTCTTTAGAAATGGTGATTTTTTTATGAGGTTTGGTAGCCTCATCCATCAGTTCCTTCAGCTGCCCAATCTGTTCATCACGGAAGTCATTAAGTTTTTCTTCTGTGAGCTGAATTCCATATACAGCCTTTTCTCTCAAGTTTTGTTTGTCCTCAATTTGTTGCTGGATCAGTGCTGCATAGTTCTAATGAGAAAGAAATATAAAGGTCACAAAACTGAAAAAAAGCAAGATTCAGGTCAACTTTTTTTAATAGCATTATATGTTAATAACATACTCTTACACAATCTCCTACAACAGTCTATTAATTGACAACAGGTGACTAAAAAATTAACACTTTTTATAAGAAAGATAACTCGTTCAAGCACTTCTAATATCTACAGTAATTTTATATAGCTAGTTTAAAATTCATATATTTACAGATTAATGCCCTATCATATACTACTATTGAAAACAAAACAAAATTTAATTCTAGATCTAATATACGTATTAAAATAATCTTTCCTATACAGCAGGATATCAATAGGATACACTTAGTAAACTGATACATCCAGAAAAGCATTATTCCCAATTTTGCTAAAAGATACCTTGGCACTGCATACTGAATTTTTAAACCAATTACCAGCAAAGTAACCCAAGCCACTACTTCAACTATATGTCTAATAATTCCAGAGAAGTGGGCAAGAAGAAAGAAAGATATTCATGAGCCTGTGATAAATTTCAAAATGACACCATTTACTAACATAAATACATTAGATTGTTAATAGACCATGTCAAGCCTCACTGAAGTCAGCAGGATCTTACCAGCCCTGTTGCAAAGCTTAATTCATGGCTATTTAAAGAAAACAGACAACTAAAACAAACTGGGGCAAACAAAAGTAAATTATTATTTGTACAGACTCTGAATCAAACTGATTCTTCAAGGTTCTTCCCAACATCACCTGTCCTGCTTTTAAATGAAACAGGCATTCAGAAACAGTGACACCACGGTTAATTCCCATGGTAAACCTACACCTCAGTGGTATTACCTCATGGTAGAGGTGCTGTAGGGTTTAAAAGAAACTAAATAGGTTTTTTCCCAATGATTGAACAATCACATTGTAGTAAGATAAAAAATTGTAAAGGGTTAATTCTTCAACTTTGCAATTTACAGAATTTCTTATCAAGGCAGATGGAGAAATGTGATCTCTCAAGCGACCCAGCAGACCAGTAACACACTGACAGTTACACATCAACCACTCCACCTCATTCTACTTTATTCTATCTTTGTATTTCTGCACGGAACAATCCAGTCGGTAATAACTGTGGACTAGGAAAAGAAAACAACCAAAAACACACCAACAAAAACTAACAAACCCACATTAAAAAATACCAGAACAACAACAAAAAAACCCACACAAACAAACCCCATACCACTTTCATTACACCAAACAACAACATTCACAGCATATAATTCAGAAACAATACTGAAAGCAAGCAATGTAAAACTCTTCACATTGTATCAAGAGATCAGACTGAACACACAAACCTCAAGAACCCCTCCATGCAGTGTCCCACCACCACAGAGGGAGGAAAGTCCTCCCACTGCTAATAACAACCACCTGGGAGCAGCCTGCAGCTATTACTGCAGGCATGACCTCTGGTACCTAGAAATAACTCAAGTCTATTTAAGAAACAGTTACAATTTTACAAACTGTTTTGTTTACCAAAAATATCAAATTAATTACTGACAAATCATCTGCAAAATTATTTTAATCTAATAATTTTTTTTTAATCTAACAATTTTTAACCACAGCACCTCATCTCACAGTGCACCAGATCCTGGAAGTGGTGATCCCTAACAAAGCCGCAACACCCACTCCCACAGGTGCCCTGCACCCAGACCCAGGGTCATGGACTGCTCATCCCCTGTTCCTCACACCAGATGCTCTGCTTCACAGCACTCCAGTGGGCTCACATCTGGATATCACCGCTGCCTCTTTTCCCCCACTCATTTTCTAGCTGAACAAATGTTTTGTACATGCCAGAAAGCCTCAGTGGTTGCAGTTTCACATCGATCTGCAATGTGAACAGAAATTCAATACTGGACAGTGGAAACATGCTGGGCTCTGGTTGACTCCTGACAGAAAGTGGAACTTTCTCACCTCATTTTACCAAATGTCAGTGATGCATCAAATAAAATATGCTTCAGCCTTTATAAAAGAGCTGAAAATAAGATGAACTATGTGGCATATCTCATTTTTTCTGCCGTGTTACCAGATGAGGGACAAAGCCTGGAATATTTAACTGTTTAATACATTACTGTTCCCTCAGAAATTAATACTATTATTATGTGATCAGTGATTTGTGGAGAGGTACTGCATGATTTGATGGTACATAATAATTTAAGATTCAGTTTCTATCTAGAAAATGTGCCATTTTCCTAACAGCAAATGAACTTAATGTGCTGAACTCCAAGGTTTTGTAACAGGTTTAAAAGCATAATGAAAGAATAAAAATGGGAGAAGCTAACATTTGCTCTTTCAATAATATAACTTTCATCATAAAATACAATGATCACAGTCCCTCTCAGGTAATAAGGAGCAGTATGGTCATGTAAGGTCTAGTTTTCATTAGAACTTAATAAATACAGAATTTAACTATTTTCCACCAGCAGAACTGAAACCAACTCTTGCTTAGCTTCCTCAAAGAAAATTACTTCACTGCTGCCTTTCATTTGATGTTATATTTAACTGCATTTTCCAAATATAACAAAACTCCTTTATCATCAATCATGACACAAATCCTTAGCAGAGTTTTTAAGGGCATCTTATTTCAATTATGGATCATACTGTGGTCACAAAAACAGAGACAGAAGACACAAAATGGAACACAAGTAATCCTGCACCCTCACAGAGCAAGGCTTGACATACTCAAGGATGGCAGAGGGACACAGGAGCTCTCCTCCCTGATGGTTTTCAGGTTGGTTAGTTACTTCTTTGGAAGGAGCTCTTACTGCAATGATCCTCTGCCTGCACCAGCTGTAAATTTTCTGGGCTTTTACATGGCAAAAGCAAGCAAAACCCAAACCACCAGCTGAATAACAAAAGCCTTTCCCCTTGTACATGACTGCCACCAGAAACAGAGGATCAGAATCAAGTTCAAGTTACAACCACCTCTCCTGACCATTTACCATCAGAAGATGGATTTATTCCATATTAAATCCCAGCCTGCTGCCCACCTGTATCACAGACACCCTCCTCACCTTCAAGGAGGCCCAAGGTAACAGCCCAAGGTGCAGACTGGCCATGTCACAGCACTGCCATCAGCGTGTGCAACCACAGGGACACCCCAAAACCCTCTGTGTGGGCAGTGTGGAGGCAGACGCCTCCCCTGGAAGGTTGGTGCACTCCTCACACACAGGTCATGGCTCTGCCTCAGATCACTGGCATATACAGCATGCATGCTGAACCCAAGCATCAGGCTCTCTTAAATCCTCTATGAGTAAATGCTTGAACCTCTAAATTATTTATACAAAAAAGAGAAGGTGAGTGTTTGCTATAATCAATAACCTTAGGGTTTTTTTGTTTAAACTCACTAATTGAAGCAAATACAGAGCTCCTCTCTGCTCTCTGACTCACAGGCATTCATAGAATGCACAAATTCATTAAAGGGCAAGGGGATGGCTGACATTTGAGGTTTAAAATATCACACACTACAGAAAGAGCATCAGCCTTCTTGTTTTCCAAGTTGAGAAAGGATTAAGTAGAAAAATAAAAGCAAAAATCACACAACCAAAAGCCCCACTTCTCTGACTGCCAGATATACAGACTCCTACCAGATCTAGTCCACAATGACACACATTTATCTCACATGCTAATACAAAGTGCTTATAAACATTTATTATTTAATCATAAAATCAAATTATTAAGAGCCCATTTGTTCATTTTCACTGAAAAGAACAACAATCATAATTTTTATTTTCTCTGGCATCCTCCTAAATATGTACAATGCTGCATTTTAGACAACTGCTCCAAAAATCTCAATAAGATATGTCTGTTCACAGTAACCACCTGTAAAATTCACTTTCTAGTCAGATTTTCTCTTAAAAAGGTCTAAAATTTTTATCTCCTTTAAGCAGTTGAAGTATAAAGCCGAAGTATTCATCCAGGCTATCTCCACTTGCAGCCAAATTAATGACAGCACTGATAACAAACATTACTGTGACCAGATCAGAAAATGCTACTCTGAGATGTGTTCAACAAGGCACAGTCAGGCACTAGGAAAATGCTATCAATTTATTTAAATTTATTTTATTCAGGGTAACATAAAAAAAAGAGCATGGCCTGAAAAGCCACTGTCATCACTCCCTGGAAGTTAATTTCAAATTGCAGCATTTCAAGTGTTTCTGCAGCTACTCAGAGCAAAATCAAACACATGCTGCGAAGGGTGGCAGCATGAAAAAACAGCTGTGAATGAACAGCACAGCAAGGAGCACCTTGTTCTTATTGTTGTGCAGAGATATGTTGAATTAATAATTTCATATTCATTCAGATAGAATTCTGCAAATTATTTACTATATTTTTACTGCAAAGCTGTTTTGATGATAAACAGAATCAGAAAAAAATACAGTATTACAGAAGTAATTACAGTATTACAGTATTTAAAAAGTATTACAGTATTTAAATGGGCACTACACCCCACGAAAATCCAGAATATCTTCTTCATACATTTTACCTGAAGCTCTAAGTATAGTTAGAAATGCAGTAATAAACCTAGGAAAATTCTACCACATTTAAGTTCAGCTTAATATACCACTAACATTTACACTAACCACTAATAACATAACCACTAATAACATAACACTAATAACATAACATAACACATTTAACATAACCACTAATATACCACAGTGAACATTTTCATGCACTCACAAACACATTAACCCATAACAATCTATTTTCCATGAGACAAGACCATTAAAAATAGCCCTAAATATTTTTAAAATTGCATAAAATACAATTACTGCCAAGTTAATTAACTGATGTGAATGAAAACCTATGTAAAGTCCCACATCTTCTAACAGGAGCAATGCATTATCAATTTCAAAATTTAAATCATAAATAATTTTTGGTTTTGTAAAGGTCACACCATTAACACGTGAAAAAAGAAAAATCAATATACTAAAAAGAGTTCTGAGTAAACCT